CACGTAAAAGTAAATGACTCTTTGAGATTTGTGTGCAAACATTTCATTTTATTTTAATGTTTTAGTGTTTTTTTTTTTCTGATTTTTATTGTTGTAGTTGTTTGCATTCATTCTCTGAAACACTTACTTTTTATTACAGGTAAGTGCTTTACTGCACACGCTACACGCACATACATATCCCGGTGCATACGCTTAAGAGTGGTTTTCTTGTTAAGTTCCTTCAAAGTGTTAAGGCTGCAAATATATTTTATTGAAATGAAACAAACAACACATGCACGTGCCTTTAGTTTTCATAATTTCATGTTATGAAAGAAACCCCGAAAGAAAGAACCTTTTTTGTTTTGTTTCTTCATTCAAATTAAAACTTTGTAGTTAAAAACCAAAAGGAGCAAAATAATCAAATTTTATCGATTATTATCGAAAATTTTGATGACTCGGGAAAACATATTGCCTAGATTACTCCTTACAAGTGCTCTGGGTGTGAAGTACGAGTAGCAGGTAATAAATGCAGAAGAATTTATCAAATTAGGAAATACAAGAATATATCTGATATCAGATCTGCCTGGGGTTTTGTTTTGTGCTTGCCTGTGTTTTAAAATTCTTAAATTCCTAGCTCTGGAAGGAGAATATATGACCCACATTTTTGCGGTATAAGACTTACTATGTTTTCTCAAATGGTTATTTCTTTCCCACAAAACAGTTATGTATTTCAATTTAGAAGATATCTGTTTAGTGACCAAATGAAACATTACGAACTTTAGTGAATTAATTGGAGTCCACCCAGAGTTGCATTACTAGGTGGGAATATTTTTTTCAATTTTTGAATGGAAGTGTTTTCTTTTCTTTTGCTCCTTTTCTCTTCTTCTCTAAAAAGAAAAAAAAAAGACACTACGTTAGTTGAACACAAACCTGAGCTCTCTAACACTGGTAGTCTTCACTGCACTACTTCAATTTCCGGAAACCCGTCGTTTTTTTCATATTAACTGCTTAAACGTGTACCGCTACAATTCATAATTTCTTTATAGAGACCAGGCCCGGCGATAGATATCCATCATGGGAAAGTCATCGTCTGTTCGCAAACTTCTTTAGTAAGCATGACAAAGGTTAGTGAGTTATTACGGGGTGAGAGGGACGTAATAGTGTAATTGAGTGCCTGGCATTCCTAGATCCATACTTCTAACTGTACATTTAAAGCGCATGAGAAGTAAAGTTGGGTGACAGTGCAGGATTTATAGATGATCCGAATGCAAGAGTGACATATGTTAACATCGCATTAGGTCGGCAACCGCAAGGTTGTCGAACAGTGCAAACGAACCGCGGATGTCAGGATGTTCACATAAAAAATGGACGTAAATATTTTTCAGTGCTTACGGAAATTTAGAGTGGGAGCGACGGAGTTCCTGACCGCTGGTCACTCTCAATCGAATCGCGCGGAGGCACTAAATAGTTGGAAATGTCGGACAAGTCTCGCCTTACTCAAAGGGAAGAGTGTAGACCATAATCAATCTTTCATATATAATACTCCAACTTTAATATAGGAGCCCTATGTGCTGCAGGACTGTCTTGCGAACTGGGTGGCGTAATTTATCGCTTGCATCTAACTCTTAAAACAATGAGTTTCGTCTGATTAAGTTGTGCTGACAGCCCTGGACATTGTTTTCCAAAAGGTATCTGATCAGGAATGCATAGAATTGAAGACCCTTTGATTTATTTCGTACCTTTATAAGCTATAAAGTCCCCATTCTACGCTCTGCCTGCAGAAGTAAAATCGATATGACCTTTTCCATCTTCATTGATAGTCTTTTAAACATTTTTTTTTTTTTTTATTTTGATGTTCAGTTAAAATGGACTAAAAAATATTTAAATTTTATTTATTTATTTTTGTTTTTTAAATATCTTTAATAAGACTTTTTCTCTATTGACATTTTGAATTTATTTTCTCTAAGCGATTTTTTTTGCTTTTAAATCCATAAAATCTCAGTAAATCACTTAAAATCTCTTTTTTTATATATACATATATATACATAAATATTACTTTCTGTTTAACTTATTTACATACATACATAAACAGTTGTTTCTTTATACTTATACTTCTGCATATTTTATTCTAGTTTAGAGCACATTTGAAAAAAGAAAAAAAAAAAAACCTAAGGAAGAAAAGAAAAACTATAAATTTATCCTTTCTTTTCTTGAGCTGAGTTTGCTCCTCTATAACTCACCTTGAATTTTACCATACTGCTCGTAATCATATAATATATATATATATATATATATATATATATATTTTTTTTCTATTTTTACATTATTCCGCTTGTTTTCCTTCTTGGATTTATTTCCATTTGACTAAACAAACATGACCATCCAATAAATAAAACCGTTGGATCGCCTTTCAAGGTTTCTAGCTAAGCAGCTACAAAAAAAAAAAAAAAGAAAGAAAGAAACCAAACCTACGTTAGAAAGCTTTCGTCTTTTGTTTAGTTTTTCTCTTTTCTTTTGCTCTTTTCCTTTTTCTTATTATTTTTTTTTTTTTATTTTTTGTTTATGTTTAATGTTATTTTATCTATGTTCGTATGTTTTTCAACATTTTGACATCTTTCTTTACATTACTTATATTTATAAGTATGTATGCATGCAGGCATTTATCTGCATAGGTATGCGGTCAAACATTCGGCTTAAAACCTTCCTTCCTTCAGCTTTTGTTGTTGTTGTTGTTGTTGGTGTTGTCTAAGAAAACTTTAAGCAACTTTAGAGGAATAAAGAGAAAAAAAAACTATGTCTGACATCTGCCAGAGTTTTTTGATGTATTTATGGTTTTTTGATTGAACTGTGCTGCATATATGCTTTTAGAATATTTCCCTTCTCCCGTTAGTTATTACATTTGTTAATTTACTATTTATATCTCGATTCAGATTTTGTTAAGCCTTGCGAGGGGAGGGTACTTTAACACATTACCTCTCGTATGCACACATTTGTGCTTCTCATTGAACTTCACATAATGCCCGTGTGCATACATTTGTGTGTGCCGATAACCGTTAATTTCCATTTCGTCTTAAATCGGTATGGTCTACGTTCCCCCGTTCAAAACTTGCCGTTAGACAAGGGAAAGATACGATGACGTGATCCCACTATAATTCAGAGAATATAATCCGATGAAACTAGTTATGGAACTTTAAATAGAATAAATAGTATGTGAAACTAAGAAGCGCTATATCCGCAACTTCAGGCAAAATCTGTAAGTTGAAGTGTTGGCTTCATATCTCAATAAGTGATCTAATATTTATGTTGACAACTTTTACAATAGTATGCAAATTCATGGAAATATCTATACAATGTAAAGACCAGAATTTGTGATGCCGTCGTCGGGATAAACCGTGGACTACCTGCTGTCCGCAAGCAAAGAAAATTGAATACAAATGAATGTGTGTACAGCTGCAAAGGACAGATACTGCTGGAAATGTGCAAATCCAATGTATATACGTCATCATGATTTCGTAAATCGAATTTCACTCACTAGCAGTGTAACTTTTCTTGCAAACGTAGGCGGTAGGGAATGTGTTAAGAAAAATATTTTTTATTTTTTTTCTTTAAATATTCGTTGCGTTAGTTCTTATGTGTTTGTAATTTTCCTTTTGACTGAAAACAATTCTTATAAGATATATATTTTTTGTTAGTAATAAGCTCTTATTACAGTTGGGTGTAATAGTCAGGGATTCAAGAAATTCTGATTTCATTCATTTAAACCGCTTAAGGGGAATTCTTTACCCAAATTTTGTTTTACATCTCTTTCAGTGAATAATTGAGTGAAATACTCAAAGGTTGTCAGTGTTACTCTTGAAGCATTTGTCGATGCGTAGTTTCTATGCGCATGCGTTTACGTAGCCGATCTTTTTCGTTTTGAAACTTCATTTCTATTGGATAACATACACAATTCAGTTATAATTGCTTTTGCGCTTATGCGAATTTCAAGTGCAGAGGGAATAATCAACGATGGGCGGTGATGGTTAGATCGATACAATCATGTCAGCAACATTCGAGTTCTTTGATTTGAGCTTGACTGGAGAGAATGCAAATTTGAGGAAAAAATTTGGGTTTTGGTAAATATTGCAAAGCTGAAGAAAGCTTGTTCGGTAATGCACCGACTGGCTTTGGCAGGTTAATATAAAACAAAAAGAAAAAAAAAAAAAAAAAACGAGAAAGGCTGTTATGACTTATGATAATTTTATAAATAAATAAGTAAAATACGGGAACCTTTCAAACAAAAAAAATTCTTTAACTTCTAATTGCTAAAAGTATTTCGGGTTCAATGAGTCAATGAGTTTAACATTTTAGAATTCCAATAAAGTACTTAACACGCGTTTACGAAGAACTCAGGACAGAAAGTCGAGCTGATGAAGAAAATATTTTTCTTTCTTTTTTTTCTCAATCCCCTTCATGGTATGAATATTTCGTATTCGTCCAATACATCTGTAAGGAAACAGAAAGAGATAGGGCGGTAACGGTCGGAATTGACCGACCAATTGAGCACTCGCTACAGTAAACTCGTTACTACAGATCTTGAAATTTAAATTCACGGACACTGACTTGACAATCGCGGTTCTTATCTGGTCGGGAACTCATGCCCTTGATTTCTCATAAAAGGAATCATAATTTGCTGAAATCCAAAGCAAGTATTGCTCAAGTATTGTTCAATGCCGTTTATTAAAATTGAGAGAATTTTTAAAAATATATATAAAAAAATGTTTAAAGAGAAAATTATATTTATATTTAAAGATAAAATCAAAATTTATTTAAATATAAAAAATGAATAATTTTTAGTAATTAAAATATTTTACAAAATCATGCAAATTTTGCTTTCTGTAATACTTTAAAATTTTGACGATATTTGTGAGACGCGTTAAATTAAGGCAATCTGCAGTTATCTCAATGCAAACTAATCTACTGGATCTCAAAGATTTTACTCATTTTTTCCTATTCTATTTTCCTATTGTGTATTCTTTCAGGATGATTTACCTGGCCAGGCACTGTTGGATGTGGTATTTGCCAGACTGAATTTAATTGAAACTTCATACTTTGGTATACGTTACATCGATGAGGAAAATCAAACGGTAACTATGCTTGTATAAATGAATGAATATGCACACACATGCACACACACAAACAAACATACATAGATGTAAAAAAAAAGCATACATATATTTCTATGTGCGCTAATACACTAGCAAAAGTAACAAGGCACGCATAAGCACACAAGCAAATCTACGGATATTTCAGTTGGAGCAAAAAAAAAAAAAAAAAAAAAAAAAACGAAGAAAAAAAAAATTGTATAATTTCAAGCTTAAATTTCCGGTTTTTTTTCGTCTGGAATAAACAAATTTCTACCCAATGTTTGTCGGCATTGAGTTCAAATCGTTGTGTGTGTGTAATCAAACGTAATTAATGAAAATGAAAAGTAAACTTTTCTCAACAAAATAAGTTAAACAATGATTACGTTCCTCCCAACCCATCCGTCTCGACCTCATACTTTTTAAAAATTTTCCTCATTTTTTTTGTCTCGTTTTCACATTTTGGCAGCTTAGGGGCCATTATGCATACAATTTTCACTTTCTTTGCCTTATTATATAAACAAAGTAAAGTCAACTTTAGATGAAAATTTCTTTCCATTTCAATAGAAAAATTTTTTATCATTGCTCTTGTTAAAAAGTTTTCCTGTTTTTGTTGAGAACATTTGCCAAATTGTTAAACTTTGAAATTATATGATTTATTTTTATGATATTTCTAGGCGGAAACTTTTGAAGGTCGTTTATTGATTTCTTTCTTTTTTTCTTTTCATATTCCTTCTTTTTTCTTTTTTTATAAGTAAGCAACGAAAGAAACATTAAATTGCATTTAGCCTTTATCTGTTCCGTTGCAGAGAAAGTAAAATCGCCCGGATTAAGCAGACGTCTGCTAGTAAATAAAGAGTATGTCCTGTTGTTGTTTTTTTTCTTTCTTTTTTCTTTTTTGTTATTGTTGTTGTTCTATTACCACCATTACGAAAGCAAGGCAGTATGTGTTTCGGAAACACACTCTACGCATTCATAAATACATCCGCCTAGAGCCGCTTATGATTCTACAAGAACTAAAAGATATCCGGTTGTTTGATTATATGGTCAACGCTATATATTTATTTATATCTGTCTATAATTATATGCATAAGTTGCAAAAATTACACTTGTGCGTTCTTAATATAGGCAAAGGAGAACAGAGAGTGCAATTATATGCCCTTTGTATATGCAACGCTGTGATGGTCTAAAATCAGTAGGGAAAGGGAGAAAGAGAGAGGGAATTGCCGCACTTTAGTTTCATGTAGCTGCGATCAAGTGTAAGCAAAAAACCGGACTGACACTTGCACCCACGATCACCGGCTTGGCAGTGGCGACTTTTATCTACTCCGGTATGCGACAGCTCAAGGCAATACTAATAGTCTAACGACAATATCTTGATCACTGGGCGCAGTGCAACAATGACAGATATTAGTAATTGGCTCGAGGACAAATGTGTTCTTCTGGTTGTAACTGACATATACATCTAATCCTGCCATAATTACACCAAAGGAATTCTGCCACATATCGCTTAAATGAAAGAAACTTCATGTTAAGTCACTTGAAAGAATTTAAGATCTAGGCGAGGGTTTTTTTTATACCTAACAAGATTGATAGCGTCTTTCCCTTTATAACGGATTCCAGCAAGCATCAGAATTTTTCAAAGAATGTGTATTCCTAAGCAATGTCAACTACCTAATCAACTTAGCTTCACGTTTCTTTTCATTTGTCTATATATCATAAGTCATTGGAAGACCATTCGAAAGTTTTCGAGCATAAAAAATGAAACGGAAAACTAAAATATTGTACACATACACTCCTAGATGACGACCGCCGGCTTATTTATTTACTACATACTTACATATTGAACAGCTATAAGGGAATAACAGCCAAATTGGGTAATAGTAGGCACTTAAAATTAAGCCTTCCACTTAACTTTGATGAAATACATAAAATAAGAAAGGATTATAATCTTATCTACGATACGAAAAAACTTTAACCTACAATCGATAGATGATATTAATATAAGATATTTGCTCTGCAATATTTAGCATAGCCCCTTAATGTCATCTATCTATCCATAAACCTGGCCAGAATAGGTAAAAAGCTTTAGTTTACAATTCATAGACGAATCCATTAAAACCCATATATCTCCTAAAGGTCAATTAAGAAAGAAAATTTCGGCCACTAAACTGACGCGTTCACATTAAAAATATTTGATATCTCAGGCCATGGCTAAGCGTCCATATTTCATGAAGTACTTTGAAAGGTCCCACAAAAGATCCTTTTAAAGCCTTATAGGGCTTTACGCTTTGCGTGTGTTGTTCCACCTGTACACTCTAAGCATATTTGATATCAGTGCACGCCTTTAAGAATCCTCTTGTTGGCTTCCATTCCTCTAAATGGCTGACGCCGGGCGATTATATCCAAGCAAATCTGTACGGAACACAGGCAATAACGATACATGTCGCGGCGCGTAGATAAAATAAATGCCTTTTGCTCAAGGAAAAAAAAAATTAGTTTTTTCTTTTGTTAATAAATTGATTTAAGAATAGCGAAGACCTTAAGTAAGTTTTATACTTTATTTATTGAACATGAATTTGAGTTGAGGGTTTAAAATTCTTCTTAAACTGAACGCAAAACTCTTTCGTTTTTTTTTTTTTTTTTTTTTTTTTTATTTACTTCAAAGTTTAAAGCAATACATTTTTTTTATTGCATTATAAATCCGTATTTATGGGTTGGTTGTGTGCGTCTGTGTTGATATTTGTTATTCCTTTACAGTTATCTTTCAATACACACTCAGAACTTTTCAATATCAATTCAAGTCTCTTCGTTCTTTTTGGTTTTTCTTTTTCTATTTTTTTTTTTTTTGTTGTTTGCTTTTTTTTTATTTTATTTTCTTCTCTTTTATTTGCCTTTTACTGTTTGTCGGTTGCCGTAGCACTGGCTGGATCCTGCGTCACGTATCTCCAGGCAATTGAAACCCAAAGCAGACCCTTATGATTTATATTTTGGTGTTAAATTCTATGCTGCAGATCCTTGTAAATTAGTTGAGGAAATAACCAGGTGAGTAAAAGAGAAATTCGCTAAAAATAAAAAAAAATAAAAATTTATAGGTAATTTTCAGAAAAATTAAAAGAAAAAAAAGAAGAAAATAGAAAGAAAAACTAATGGAAAGTTTATAGGTGAAATCTAAAAAGGTTTGAAAGTCTGACTTTCTTTTTTGCTTTTTTTTGTTTTTTTTGTTTTTTGTATTTTAAGAACAAATGCGGAAATGAGAGATAATAATTTTCTTTGATGTCTGTGCAGTGCTTTAATAGCACAAAACATAAAGGGTATCCGGTTGGTTGTTAAATTGAAAAACAATTAATTTAATCAAATGATTCTTTTACTATTATTATTATTATTATTAACATCTTATGTGTGTAACAATTGATTGTTATTTTGATATTTTTTAAAGGCTGACTCCGGAATTTTTTAAATTTATTTAATAATCCGAATAATCTCTCTCTCCTTAAGATTTATCTTAACTCTTTCCATTCCTCCGAGCATGGCCTGATAAGGCCTTTCATTTAATACCTATACCACATCGCTTAATGTATATATTCATAAAACGACTTTTCACAATAAGGTATCATATGGGAAATGATCAAAAAAGTGGTCCGATCCGAACAATTTTCAATAGCTTTCGGTTTTGAGCCAAAATACTTTGGTTTATCAAATTTCATTGAAATATCTCAAAAAGTGCAAACTGTAGGTCGACAGATGTCCAACGCACAAACGGACGGACAAGTTTAGATCTATAAAGAAATAAAAAGCGAATCCTTCTGAATAAGTAGTAATCAGGATGCGCTATGCCTGGTACCCTGGATGCATTGGAACTTTCAATTCGAGTTGCAACACTGCATCCTTGACAACTCTTGCAACGTGTGACTGAGAGTTGCCATATAAGGGCGTCGATTAACCGCTATTGCTGCAGTAATACTTTTATAACAATAAATCGTTCAATTAGTTCAACTGACATCGACAGACATCTGCAATAACCGTTTCATTCGGTTTTAGCAGCTCGTAACACACTACACCCTGCTGATCCTATCATATCCATAGCAAAACTCTAAGGCCATAAATATTCCGCTTCGCTGTCGATGTGGTTGGCTCCCTCAGAACTAATTCAAATTCGGCTTTTAGCGCTTGGGATGGTCGTACTAGATCTAATAATTATCGCCAGCCGCAATACGCCACAGTTCATACGTTCTTTTTTTGAAGAAAACTATGATCTGGAAAAGGTTTGCTATTTTTCCTTCTTTTCAACTCTTCCCGTCGTAGATAAACGAATAGAATCAGTTGATTGATTCATCAAGTGCTAAGCTGTTCGAAAGTTATTTGCAAGTTTGAAGCGGATTTTCATGCGATAAGTCTTGCGACTCATTTACTTCGAAATTCTTTGATCGTCCAGGTCGCTGTTTGTCATTCAAAATCATCACTTTTAAACCATTGAAACTAAAACCGACAATTGTGTTATAAGTTTCGAAAAATGTATTATGAACTTCGGAAGGAGTTTTGTCGAATGTCGGAAATGCAATTTTAAGCGTTCTTTGATTAGCGTCGGCGTAAGCTGAATAACTCAGTAATACTAAATGAAAAACCGCTTTTTTGTATAGCGGAAGACCAAAATCATCGAATTTAGCCATTATGTACATTGACACTTTGCCTTACTTTATCAGTTTCACCAAGAGATAACGGTGATCAAAACGCATGCAAGCACTTGTCAAGTGAAATATGATATGATCAGAAAACATGCAAGCACCTAATTACGCATTTTATATATTCTAAAACGCAGTTGACGATGATAGGTGAAAAAACTTAGAAGTGCCAAGTTACGAGGCTACGCATTTTTAAGAACTTACCTTTGTTTACCATCAACTTAAGTTCCACTATATTGTTATAACGACCCGAGAAACTGCCTAAGAGGCTATTTCGTAAACGTTCTACATTTTATAATCAAATCAAATCCTTGCTCTAATATGCTTCGCTGTCCTTAAAGTCATAATTAAATTGGGAACAAAAAAAATGAAAAAAAAAGTTCAAAAAGTTTATACAGCATAAGTGAAATGTTTCCGGTTATTTCATAATTTTTAACATAATCTAAACAAATTGAGATTACTGCATTCAACCGTTAAAAGCGAAATTTCCTTTAATAAAATATCGAAAAAAAAAAAAGCAAAACGAATTATATCCGGCTATTTCCGAACCTTTTAATAACCACTACTGGCATTTTTTACGCTATTTGCTGGCGAAAAATCAAGTCATTTAATCTAACATACGTTTCGGTCATTATTGTATATATTTGGTAGCATTTTCTATGACCTGAAAGCTACCAGGGTCGGTTTGCGGTTCTCATTATTGGGCTAACTAGATCCTACGAACCCTTTGACATTTGATAACGGGCAAATACTCACACTCTACCGCGTAGCATCAACTCAGTATGCGTTAAAGTTGCTTGATAACGAGAACCATTAACTCAAAAGGGCACATTACATTGGATCTATCTTGGTAAAGCAATCCCCCCTCTCCCCCACCACGTACATGAACTGTCCTTTTATTATATTGGGAATTGCTTTTAGTATTTGGGAATGTGCTTTTAGTATTTGGGAATTGCAATCAAATTTTGCAATTTTTGGAAAAGTGACACTTAAGATTTTATTAAAGCAAGGTTTCATACCCATCTTGAATCTCTGCAAGCTAAATATTCTATAATTTTCTTCAGTCTTTTCATAGATCGATTTATTAGAGATTCGAACTTAACCTGACCAAAAAATGTTGCGCCAATTATCTAAAGTCAGTTTTATATTTCTAGAATCGGACGAAGGTATGCGCAAATGCATTTGGTGGATCCGCTGATGCGTTACAAACATTTGGCAAGTCTCACGTACCCTTGGAGTAATGGGATTAAAAAAAAAAGTTGAAAAATTTTCTACACATTCATAAGCACAAAAACTGCATATATTTATAGTGCTTGTGTTTATATGTGTTCTTGTATATGTTGTGTTTTGTATTTTCCAGACCATAAAGCAATTACAAAAGCACATATTTATTAGCAAACGAGTAGAGTATAGACAGAGAATTATTTGTGCTGGCGACAGATGTTAAATGCAATGCACGAACATAACTCACATAGGTGGGTGTACAAGGCGGCTTATCAGCGAATTGTGTTGGACATTGAAAGCAAATATAAAATTTTCCGAAAAAAAAAACAAGAGAAATAATCAAAATTGCATTTGACGGTTAAACGGAAACCGAGAATATTGTCTGACACGAAACGGGGGGCTTGGTGTGTGTGTGTG